CCCCGCCTCCTTGGCCCTAGATGCCTATGAAGGACGTCCTTTTCCTCCGTCTCTGCCTTGGGGGGATTTCTCGTTTTTTTGACGGGTATAGCTTCCATCTCCCTTCCGCGCAATTCCACCATGGTTTGAGGAAGCACCGTGCTCCTCACCCTCGGTCGGAGGAGGGCAGAGGTTCTATTGATCCCTCCACTCTCCCCCCTTTTTGCGTCTCTCTCCTTCCTTCGTGGGTGGGTGAGCGGAACAACCGCCTCCACCCCTCCTCGCCGTGGCGACCATTGATCGCCCCTTCCTTTTTTGCTGAGGGGGGAGTGCCGGCCGGCCTACCGGCCTCCCCTCCTTTTTTCACCACGGTGGGGGCGAAAGGAAGGCGTTGACTTGCCTCCTCCCCCAACCTCTCCATCCTTCTCAGGGGAGGGCGCAGACGCTACCTCCATCTCTATGGATAGAGGACTCGAAGGGCAGCCCCCTCCTCCATTTTCATCGTCCGTTGGTCAGGGTAGAGAAGGGACACATCCCCATTCCCCCTTTTTTCGGGGATCCTCGTCTTCTCTCCTCCACCTCCATTTCTAGAGGGAGCGGGGAATCAGTCCCCTTTTCCTCCATTTTTATAGGGGAGGGGTCTGAGGGAGGACTGGCCCCCCTTTCCTCTTCTCTTCCTCCTTATTCGCTTCCCTCGTGGAGGGACGACAGGGCAGGAACGGCCCCCAATCCGCGTCCCTGCCTTCCTCCTCGCAAGCGGGACAGCGCGCTCTCCTCTGCGCGCATGCCCTCGTTAGGTGATCGGCGTTCCCGCAGTGGAGGCAGTTTTTACTGCGGTCCACCGCCAAAGGGCACCTCCACCTCTCATGCCCCCTCAGGAGGCATTTGTAACATCTGGAGGGGGGGGTCCTCTTTCTAACGGGCATTTGACCGCCCGCTCTGTAGGTCTGCGTCCAGGCGTCACATCTGCTTGGCGCAGGCCCATCCACCAATTTGGAGGGGGGAGGGGGGATTTACTGTCCATTCCTCCGGAGCTTTTGCCCTCTCTTACGTAGCGCGCTTGCGCGCGGCCTTCTCTAATCTCCAGGAGGACAAAAATTTTTTTAATTCTGAGCCTCCGCCTACAGACCGCCATCCGCGGTAATCATTTCGTTCAGGGCGCCCGTGTGGCACGCCCTGGATGGCCCGTCGTGAGATGACGACAAGGGGGGCACCGGGACCAAATATCCCCCTCGCCGGCTCTTGGGGTTCCGAAGCCCCTGAGGCGGTAAGTTTATTCTCTTTGTCGTCATCTTATATATCTATTTCGTTGTTATTTTTAACGCAGTTGTTTTCTGCGGATTTGGAATCGGGGTTTTCCTTCCCCTAGAGCAGTTGCCGACCAAGACCGACGAGTCTGTTCTACCTGGGTTATTTTTACGAGGTTTCCCTTCTTCTCGCCCGCAGCCCTATTGGGCTAAAGAGCCTGGCCGCTCCTCTCCTCTTAACTTGGGGCTTAGCCTCACCCAGGAACGCAAGCTCCCGCCGCGCCAATCCGCGTGAACCCCACACGGGCCCCCAACCAGCGACTGACCCATTCGGGGAACGTTCCAATCGACCAGGAAGAACCCGACCCCATCGGCCGCCTGCCGAAGGCCCGACATACGGCAGCCCCCAACCACCGGCACGCACCGGAAATGTGTCCCCAGCGGGGAACGCGCATTTTCCCCGGTAAGACGCATCCCGCCGCGGCCGCCGTTGAACGCCACCCATGCCAACCCGCCACCCCATCAAGAAAACGGTCGAGTCACAGGGCCCGCCACGGGCGGCCATATTGATAAGGGTGAGTATAAGGATAAGTGTAGCGTGAGTGTGTGAGTGTATGTGTGCGAAGGAGTGTGTGCGTGTAAGTTACAGTAACCTTACCGTAATGCGTGTGTATGATGTGCGTGAATAACAGATGAATGGATATGCATGAGTGTACGAGTGTGTTTTTGGGCGGACGGGACCCCCCCCCCCCCCTCCGTATCTCTCAATGCACGGGGATTCCCCGCCAGTATGCATGGCCCCGACTTCCGAGCATCTTCAACAGGTAAAGGCGCCCAGGAAGTGCGGGGCCAGAAGTCCGTATGTATGTGTATGAATGATGTCGGTGTATGACATGAAGTTCGCGGGGCCGGCTGACCCCTGGCCGAACACGACAAAGAGCCCACAATCCCCTTCCTTTTTTGGGAAGAGGGATAATTCCCCCCCTTCTCCTCTATTTCTTTATTTCCAGAGGTACCCCGCCCCGCTCCCCCTCGTGCAATGGGGGGCCAGCCGTTATGCCGGAACACCGGCGTGCTAACGAGACTGGCCAGGTCCCGGATTTTTTATCTAGGTTTACTCCTCTATCTTGGTGGTGTGTTTACCACACCTAACGGGTCCAGGCACCCGGGGGTTTGTAGTCGGAGTCCCCATCTCCTACCGGCGATTGGGACGGATCCCTAAGGAATCGCCGGGCTCCTCTTGTTCCCTCCATCGAGGGAACTGTGCACTCTTGGCACCGTAGAAAAATCCCAGCGACCATCTCACGGTGAGCCTTTTTACCACGACAAAGTGGCACACGACGAGGAGAATAAACGATGCGTCATGCAGCGCGACGCATATAATGTGATACTGACTCATTTTTGAAAGATGCGATTTCGGATTATAATAAAATCATATATAATTGAATTCAGCGTAAAAAATGCTACAACTTTTGTCATTACAAAAATTTTAAAATTCGAAAAAATAATAAAAAGATAAATTTAAAAAATTACATTTTTTGAAAATCCAACTAAACAGTTATAAAACCCATTACAAGCCATACAACTTCTATTTGAAACATTTTTTGATATTTGTTACGGTTTTGGCGATATTCACACACAAAGAAAAAACCCATTTTTTTCAGAAGGGTGTTTCATCCCTTAAATTTGAGTTAGGGCCGCTATAAAAAAATATGTGTCTTTTCAAATTGTATGTTTTACAACATATTTCAAGGAGAATCAAATCGGAGGAGGGGACACTTGTGAACGTTCCGTTATTAGATATAGATGATGCTTCATGGAATAGCATTGCATCTTTTTCTATCGTTTACAAAGAGAAAAGCCAATACAGTAATAAGCGTCGCTATACTGTATTAAAACAAGGTTGGACAGATGTTATACAAAAAGCATGTTGGGAAAAAACTAAATTACCTTGCGCATATTTTTTTAAGAGAGCAAAGATTTTCGATCATAAAAAAAGCGTATACCTAAAAATAGTTGGCAAATACAATGCATGTGGCGCAATTTTTGAAGGACATTGTTTAAAAAAGCCCATTCTTGGTCACGGTATTAAAATTTCTATGAAAACGACAGATACTCGAGGGGTTCCCAACGTTAGCAAACGTATGCTTAAAGGATTAGAAAGACAGGTAATTCAGCAAAAATTGCTTTCTACAAAGGCTGCTAATTGGCGTTGTAAAACAACAAAAATTATGACATATGCAGTGTTCTTAGGAAAGCCCGTCAAAAAGCTAAAGATAAAGATTTAGGATTATACAAGGTACCTGATCCTCTTATGTCATTGCAACAAATGAAATATAACGTAGAATTTGCAAGCATAATACGAGAAATAGCGCTAGACTATTTTATTGCATGTATTGGTCGCTGATGCAGCTCGACTTGTATAAAGATATTATAAAAACTAAAGTACCTTTATCGATTGACGTCCTTTTTTTTTTTTTAAAGTTGGAGAAATCTTTTATGGATACTCGTGATCTTCGGGGGAGGACTATGGGTTATGTGGGAGTCTCCCAGGAATGAAAGTTCCTGAGCATATCCACTAAAACTCCACCGGTGACCCACTCTGGCCGTATTTGGAAGGGTCCAGGGAACCGTCAGTGGCATTATTTCCTGAACCCTCTCGGCCCGTCGCTGTCAGCGACCCCTCTCGCCCGGGCTGTGCCCAGGTTGCCCTGTTTGGGTTTTACTCTGTTGTTATAGTGGGTGAGCAGGGTCACCTCGCCCTCCCGACGGTGATGGGGGCGGGATTGATGCATGGACCCCCGTCCGCGCACCAACCCCTCCTCCAGACTGAGGGCGAGGCCGGCGGAACTCTGTCTGACGCCTCACCTCTCAGTCTGGATCTTCCCTGTATCCCCCACTGGCCGTAATGAGTGTAGACATAAATTATGCCAGCCAATGGGGGAGTACTCTCAGCCTCCCCTTTTATGGGAGGGCTGTGAGGGCTTGGGAAGAGGAGGAAATTCCTCTTTCTTTCTCGCCCCACTCCTCTTACTTTTCCCTTTGTCTGGCCCTTGATGAGGGAGGGCAGGACAAGTGAATCTCGTCCATATTCTCCCCCAGGCCATCCAGGAGGAACCTGCTTGCCTCCCCCAATGGTGGGGGAGGTTTTGCCAGTTTTGAAGGCGGAGGTCGGTGGCTGTCTAGCCAACCTAACTTCCAAGGTGAGCTCCCAATGTGGGAACTCACAAGCCGCCTCCTCGGCAATCCTCCTCAACCCTTCCACGTGGTCGGGACCGGAGTATTCTACCTTCATGTTCATGCAAGTCCTGGACCTGCTTATGAGCATGAACGTGATGTGGCGGGTGTCTAATCCACGAAGGTGATCCCACCCTCACACCACCCGTTTCGCCACTTCCTGGCCATTAGGGGGGTGCCGCCACCAAAGGATGACTTTAGAGGGGGTCCGCCTCCCTCCACTCCACCCCCCGGTGCCAAATTGTCCTCGTGGGAGGGGACTATGTAGGAGGGGACTATGTTGGTGGCACTCGTCGACCGTGTCACCCTTGTCAATTCCTTGTGAGTGGGGGGAGAGCAAAGACCCTCCCCCTCCTTCTTTCTCTCTTTCTTAACCTTTTTTCCCTTCTTGGGGGAGGGGGGAGGAGAACCCCGCGTCTTCTTGACGGAAAGGATTTTCACCCCCCTCTTTTTCAACTCCGTCACCTGAGTTTGGGGGGGCTTGGTGCTCCCCTCCCTTGGTGATTTGGAGAAAAACGTGGGAGGATCCGTCTTTCCCCTCCCCCTTATCTCCTCCCTTCTCTTAAGGATGGGGATGGGAGAAGGGCTTTGAAAGGCCCCTCCATCTCCTCCCTTTCCTTCCTTCTCCTGAGCTTGGGGGAGCTTCGTGCTCCCCCTCCTCGGTGATTTGAAGGAAGACGTGGGAGGATCCCTTAGTCTCCCCCCTGTCTCCTCCTTCCTCTTTAGGGTAGAGATGGGAGAAGGGCTTTGAATGACCCTTCCCCCCAGCCTTTTCCTCCATTGCAGAAGGGGGTAGTGATCCCCTCCTCTCCTTCGCCGATGTTGGACTTGGAGGTATCAACTCCTCATCCTCCACCTCCATAGCATAGGGGTCGGGAGAGAGGGTTATTGGAGGGATGGAGCAAGAAGAACTCCCTCCCTCGACTCTCCTCCCTTTCCCCGATGCGCCCTCCTCCTCCACCTCCATTGCT